TCCAATTTCTAACATCTTTACATATTTATTAGCAGTTGGATAATGTTTTTTTATCCACCAAAGCCTTTGTCCAGATCGCATTCCTGCTAGAATAATAGAAACACCTCCTCTAGCATTTGGTGCAACTGGTACTGCATTAGTTAGGCATCCTCCCGCTATTGTCTAATCTTCAGCAACATTTCGAGCAGGGATAATTTGTGCACCTGTAAGTCCAAGTAGAACATTTGGGAAAGAAGCGACTGTACCCGTTATACCTCCTGCATTAGTACCATAAATATGTGCTATTGTTGCACCTATATCAGAGTTATCAAGTACATTTTCTAACTCCTAATTTTTATTGTCAAATTTTCTATGATACCATTCTCTCGCTTCTCTTTTTAAGGATCGATCTAATATAGTGAGAATATTTGCATCATTATTTACTTTAGCCAAAGTAATATATGATATGAACCTATCTGCGAAATCTTCATGATCTTCATCATCACCATGAAATTCTGTTTGTACAAATCCTACAGGTAATGCTATCAGTTGATTTTGCTGATTATTTACTAATGCAAAATTTTGTTGCTGTAAATTTAAAATATTCTAATTTTGATTCAAAATTATTTGGCATTCATCTTTAGTCTTATTCTTCCATTTTTTATACCGATCATATAGTCAATCTTGCCAAAATTTATCAAGAGCTCTTTCATTTCGACAGTTCTGTATTTGTATATGCTTATTCTTAGTTTTATTCTTCTATTTATATATCTATTACATATTCGGTCTTGCCAATATTCATTAAATACCTGTTCATTTTCTAATTGCTGCAATGTCTGATCCCGCTCCTATATATATATATCGCGATCTCACCTTATGTTTACCAGATCTTGTTGCAGGTTAGTGTATTTATGTCGAATTGATCTTGTTGATCTTTTAATTTGATTTGATAAAATAGTTCTACATATTGTTGTATTATCTAGAGATCGGTCTATAGTATCAGCCAATTCAGCTATTGTTCCCATATCTAAATTTTGATTGAAATTATAAATATCTAAAGAATTTTTATCAGGTCAGAATCATTTTTATTAAAGTTCTGTGCTTCTGCATTTTGCAAAGCCTCTCTAGTATTTATAAGTTCTAATCTATCTCAGTATCTTAATAATGCTAAAGCAAAATTCTGACAAAGAAAGTCAGTAATACGATTTTTTTGCCGGGTTATTTTGTTGATTCTATTTATTTGATTAGTTCTTACCGTATTTATTTCTCGTTTAAATTGTTCATTCTCATCTACTAATCTGGTTGTATAATCTTGTGCTTTTAGAGTATTACTAGCAGATTTAGATATTTCTCATATTCTGGTTTTTAATTTTGTCTCTCATTCATCGAATTCTGTTATTAATTCATTCTTATTTGAAATTTCTTTATCTTTCTTTTTATTTTCCTTTTCAAGCTGTCGGACAATTCATTTTAATTTTAAAATTTCTTCTGTTAATTCTTCTTTGTCTTGCCTAGATAGTTCGATAGCATTATTCAACTCTTTTTCAAGAAATCATATTCTCTCTTCCTGTATACCTATAATCCTTTCTAAGATATATAGACATTGTTCAAAATTTCTATTTGATTCCGCTAATTGCGATACTACCTCATAGAGTTCTTGATTAGATTGTTGTAACTCCTCTATGTTTTTTATTACTATAATAAAACAAAGGAATGAAGAAACCCGTAATTTATATTGACTCACAAAGGGCTCGTGATTTGGATAGAGAGATTACTTTGCAAAAAATTTATTATAGGCCTGAAGGTTATTATCGGACAGCTGAAAAAATGCGAGATGCTTGTAAGAAGGCAGGATATGAGTTCACTTTGGCTATAATAAAAAATTGGCTTAACAAACAG